TCTGGAAAGCAAAACACTGAGAGGTGTGTGTCGTGGATGTGTGTCTACATGAAGCCACTGAACTAGTGGATGGCAATTCCTATCGTGGGTGAGAACCTTCCCGGGATGTGATGGGTAAAAAAACATACATTTGGCATGAACTAAAAACGCGTCGATGGGTCCCATTTAAGCTGAACCTCTTTATCCATCGTAAATCAAAACCCGAAGCCAGAGAGTGGACAACTACTTTTTAAGTGATGACAAATTAGGTTATATTACGCCTCATACGAAAGTTCGGTGGTGCACTTGAAGGCAGTTAGTGAATTTTGAACAAAGCTTTATTATGCGGGGGACAGGACCAAATTATCAACTCAGGCTTGTCTTTTTGCATGAGAAAGGCAATCCCATCATGAATACCTACAGATTTAAGTACGTCTACCTTGAAGTAGCGATTCACTATGTTAAGCTTAAAGCAAAGTAAACTTTTGAGCACAGCATAATATAAATTAAATAGGACTTCTTAAGAGTGTAAAATCATTTTCTTGCAATTGTCTTAAGAAATAATGAGGTTGTTAATAGCCAAATATACAAATCGCTTGAAATTATTTAATTGCTTTAAAGTCATCAGCTTAAATATCTTGTCGAAATCAGGAAAAAATGGAGTCTGCTAATTTCTTTCATACTATTTTACCCCAGCCCTTTCATTTAAATATATGTTTTATAATCGCCAGAAATAGTTCACAAATATGGGGATCGAATTATTGTTAAAAAACGATGCCTTGAAGTTTAGCTTATTACTACTTTGTATATGAAGGGCTCAAACGAGAACATTTATCTGAACAGCTACCATAATTTTCTGCCTTTTGAAACATATTATCATACGTAAATAGAATGACGAAAAACTTTCTTAGTGGTGATGGTATAAACAACCACCGATTATAGGAACATAAAATAACTGAACTCTATGTTTTAATATGGGAGCTTCTCTCCCCAATCTCATGTCAAGATGTTGACAGGGAATGTTAATCACAAAAGAAATCCAGTTTTATACCTTTCAGCTGCCAACTTCTCGAACCAAATTAAGCAAATCTCTTCTCAAACGTTACGAGTATTTACCCGTCCTTCTGCTAATTAAGCTATCGTTTCGTTGGTATTTACCACAATGAGGCACAATTAACATCAAGGTATATTTGCGTCAGTCACACCCAAAGTAACAAAAATTAGGCCTCCTTTTCAGTGAGAAAAATATTCAACTGCAAACCTCCTTAATCAATTCTGCACTTTGTTACCATCCACTAACGATATTTCTCGATGAAACCGCATAAATAGCCATCATTATTTTCAATTACTGGTTTATCATGCTGCACGTTTAAGCAAACATGTGTTCAGAGAGCTGATAGTATGTCTACTGTGTTTTTACCGCTTCGCGATTACTGTTTAGGGTTTGAAATTATGCGTCTGGAAGCAAAATAGGTTTTTTAAACCCTCAAAAGCACGATCCGATGACAGATGAAAAAATTCGATGCAACCAAAATAAACGAAACACTAGATGGCTGGGCAATAATTTATTGTGATAAACAATTGATAATAAATAAAACGACTTTAAAAAGTAATCGGTTACAAAGGTACAGCAACGGGCGACCCACACAAAAATGAGTTTATGTGTAAATTCGCAGAATGACGAAAAGGCGGCAGAAAATGTTAATTCAAAGTATTTCATGTATGCGCACTAATCACCTGTAGTACAAGGGGATCAGCATAGGATCCCTTATGAATGCATCCCTTTTTGAATGAAGATGCAAGGTCACCCACACCCACACTAGGCCACTTAATAAAACATCGTTGAGCTTTGAGTGTACCTTTACCCCCATCCCCAATGGCCACTCAAACCCAACAATCACTCGATCACCTTACACTCAGGCCACTGCGAGACGCCTTGACCTACTGTTGCTGCCAAAATAACAATCGGATCGAGCAGGTTGTCGAAGCAGTAAGTATAAATGAGCCGACCGTGGTTTGCTCTATGACAACACAACATGGTGGACCGTTCAGGAATGATAACGGTGCGTGCGCACGGCGACGATAAGATCCGATTTGGTAAATGGGTCAAATTCAAGGTCTGCGACAACACACTTTCCATCGTACAGACCACGTCAAAGCGGCATCATTTTATGGTGCTAATTTCAAGCGGAAAATTACTTTGATAAATCTACACATTTTACTTCCATAGTCCTCTTAAAGGGCAACCTGCAAAAAGTACTTGCGTTCAACACGACGTTAAATCATGATTAGAAAAAAATGTTTCGTAAAATGCCAAAATGGTCTTAAATTCAGGTAATAAATGCAAAATGTTTATTATATTTAGAGTCGTAGGCTAAATTACTTATGATGGTAAGAAACTGAAGTGAAAATACAAAAATAACATTTTTGAACAATAAAAAATTTAAAAGCCGTTTACTTTAGTGACCCCGACACATAGAACGGTTTTGCGAGTTTCCGAAACGTGACATAATATTCAAAGGCATATTATCCTGATTCGACTACTCCTGCTATGTTCAGTAAGGAGACTAAGTGCCTTGCAAGATGATCTAATTAACGCATCAAATTACCATATTCAGAGACCAAATTTGGTTTCATAAACCGAAATATGCGAAAACGAAATGCTGCATCTGCGAATTGTCATTTTCGAGATCAAATTTGCAAAATGTGTTATTATTGAATAAATTGTTAAAAAAATCTTCAGGCACGTAGTTTGGCGTACTCAAAAAACGCTTACATGTTAAGCAAAAGCACAAACTTATGCATAAGGAAGCAGTGATAGTGACTGAGAAGTAATGCAAGGCACAAAATATGAAGTATAAGCTTTGATTCTTAAGTAATTAGATGTCGTCAGCAATCACATTTGCCGAAACTATTGCTTGTCATTTAAACAGCTGTATCAGCAACGCGGGCCAAGATATTGAAATTGTGATAATCTAACCTTAATCCCTAAATGAAAATGCATAGTTATTTCAGTGTGGAAGAGAATAAAAAAAATATAGATCCGCTAAAAAACTCAGCTATCCTTCGAGTGAGTTAGGTTTCTTAAGTTCGTTTGGACACTTGAACAAAAAAACTGGATTTTTCGAAAAGATTCAGTGAGTTTTACTTTGTGTAATATGAGGAATCTCGTTTCTAAACGTCAAATCGCAATTTTAATAAGGCTAACCATTATCATTGATATTATTGTCCTTAAAAAGAGTTTGCTGCTAAACTGTCAAATCACCAATTATTGCATTTGATTTTCGATGGGCTAAAATCGTATTTCAATTACATAAGGAGCGATGATGTGAAAAAATGAATTTAAAAGTTGAAACTTGTTAAATTTATTCTCCACAACAGCATTTGTGATCTTAAGCAATTGCAAAAATTAATTGTTTTAATGGGGCAACTAACCAAAATTGACAACTACAGGAGATATTACAATATGAAAACCTCTATAGCGTGCTTGGGCATGATCAGAAGGCGTATGGACGAATAGAAAGTTTATTGGTTCAAAAATATCAACGTGGATCTCCGGTATCGGGGTTGAAGAGTCATTGTTTACATGGGGTTCTTATATACTCGGTCCAGGTTGCCCCTGTTCGCTCATTGGCTCCGGCTTCGATTTTAGAAATAGAAAGACAATCGCGTGAGGGGATTGGCTACTCGGGCTTTGGCTCTCCATTTGAAACTTAAATGGTCCTCGCAACCGGAAGTTACGTGATGCTGCCCCACGGCTCTCAACCAACGACTGGATGTCAAGATGGCGGCTTTCTGCCCGCACGCTTGTAGAATACCCGAGCCCTAATAGAAAAAAGACCGGTACAACAGAACAGGCTTTATTGACCAATCAGAAGCCAGAGCCACACGTCAGGCGCCTTCCATCCGAGTC